GATTAAAATAGAAAATATGAAAACCCGTCTCAAGCTTTCTGAAACCGATTAAGTAAATTACAGATGAAAAAATGAGCATAATTTTGAATCATTCAATTTTTAATTCCCAATTTTTCAGTGCACACAACACATTTCCAGGCTCATTTGGCGTACCACAGTTTGAGAACCACTGCTTAAAGTGATTTATTTGTCCAGGCAGTTCAGCTTTCGAAATGCAAAACCTAGTTGAGCTTCAGTGATTAAAATCCACAGGGTTGATCGTGAGCCAAAGTGCTTTTGCTGGTTTCCTTCTGGTCTGAGCTGCAGCCGGTGTGAGGCGCGGTGAGGATGTTCTCTTGCTGAGCACCTCCCTGACACTCCCCTGTCTCCCGCTCAGTTCCTCAGGACCTGCGCCGATGTCTTCCGGCTCGTTCCTTTCCTGGTCTTCATCATCGTCCCCTTCATGGAGTTCCTACTGCCCATCGCTCTCAAGCTCTTCCCCAACATGCTGCCTTCAACGTTTGAGACGCAGTCTAAGAAGGTAGGGGAGCAAGGCGCCGTCCAGGCCCAGTGATGAGCCAGTCAGCCTAAATACCACGTGTTTGTCCAGTGTGTGAAAAGCCAGACGGCCAGGCCAGGCCAGGCCAGGCCAGTTCATTGTCATGTGCACAAGTGCAATGAAATGCGTATTTGCATGTATGCTCCAAAACAAAGAATACAAAGACATTAAGGAAACACCAAAAACATAAACACAGAACAGCAGCAGGAACAACATCAAGTTAAATAACCTACGTTTTAGGAAAAAAAACACATCAGGATGAGCCAGTGGTAGGGGTGGAGGTCAGTAAGATACGATAAGATCACTTTATTAGCCATATTCGATTTCTTGCATTAGGAATTTGTCTTTTCGCATACCCCAGCTTCCTCACCGTGAGACACAGATACAGACAGCTCCTCTGTAATCTGACAGCTGAACCTGGACGTACGTGCCTTTAAGGGGAGAACATGCAGATCCCACACAAAAGGTTGAATTATACCAGAGTTGAATGATGCCAACCCCAGAGGTGTGTGGCCACCTCACGTGCTGCACCGCCACTGTGCCGCCCCTCACAGTAGGCCTCACAATCCTGTTTCATTGGCTCGCTGTTTCCCACCATTGACTGCATTTGTTGCAAATTTGTTCCATTTCTTATGCGACTTTGTTGTCCCAATACTTTTAGAAGACACCATATATGTACGTTTCAAAGCTAAAGTTGTGGAAGATGTTCGAAAATAAATGAGTTTCTTAAAAAGATAACGTGAGCAGTGTACATCTTTCATCAAAGATGGGGAAAAAAAATCCTGTGTCGATGAAGAAATTGCAATACGACTTTCTCAAACCTAAGGACTCTCACGATCTCATCAGTGGCTATATACTGGAATGGTCTGGACCGAAGGAATAGCTTTAAGAGGATGTCAAGCAGACGGCAAACATTTTTCGTAAAAGTGTCTCTAATACGTGGTTTTCCAGCCACATGCTTGACTTTCCAATTTGATTTTAAAGCAAGACAGTGTGTGTGTGTGGGGGGGTGTTGTTACAAGGGCAAATGTTCTTCAGTTGTTGAAAAGGTAGCACCAGTAAATGAGAGTGCATGAGTAACATGGTATGTGAAAAAGAATTGGGCAGTATCGTTTTATTTTCAGACGTTCAAGAAAACGTTTCAGTCACAGTGTGCCTGGCAGAGGAGCTCTTCAGGTAAGTGACTGAGGGACTGTGTAACGATTTTTACCTGCTGCCCTGTCTCAGGAGGAAAGATTAAAGAAGGAGCTGAGACTGAAGCTGGAGATGGCCAAGTTTCTTCAGGACACCATCGAGGAGATCGCCTTGCGGAACAAGGCCTCCAAAGGAAACGTCACCGCGGAGTTCTCCACCTTCTTCCAGAAGGTACAGCAACCACGGCCCCCTTTTCAGAACGTTTATATTCCGTTTCAGCATAAAAGGGTAGAAATGGTAACCAGTGTGTCTAAAAGTTCAGTACTCATCTACTACACTAAATGCACAGTAATCTTCACTCATTTCGTTTATGAGTATTAATAAATGATGAAAACTCCAGCTCCAGAGACATTTGACTCATTACGTACCTCTCGGTGCAAAATGGAACCCTGTGCTAGTTTCAGCCCTACTGCTCAGTAAACTGCAAAGCTGACAGTTCTTTTGTAAATCTCCCTTTCTTACCTGCCCCTGCTTGGAATTCAAGTCAAGAGTCAGAGAGTTAGGAAAAAAAACATCTTTTGGTATTATATCTAAACGCACGTTTGCCATTATGAAGATTCGCTCTAGAAGAGACCGCAGGTGCCCTCTTGTGGTCTCGCTGAGAATTGCAGCTTTACAGGAATTTTAGTCTGCTGTCACGAAAGCTGAGGTTGTTTTCAGCGTGAGCAGTTGGTGGTCTGAATTCAGCTGCCTCACATCCGGCTTCCACCAGACCCCCTTTTAATAGGTAATACTTCATACTGTCTAGACAGACATACACAAGGACATAAAAACAGGGGAACCATATAAGATTTTTAAGGCTTAAGAAAATAACTTTCTATTTTATTTAAAAGACAAACTGGGCGGCAAACCTCTCTGTAAATGTAGCTCATGTATAGCTGTGAACAGCAAATGTCATGCAGCATAATTATATGAAGCTAAATTTAGCAATAGACTGCTACTCTCAGGTTTCAGGGTTCAATGAGGAAATTAGTTGAGTGCCCCATGCATATAAGAACAGGATTAAGGTTACAAACAAGAAGAGGCCATTTGGCTGATGTACTTCATTTATCCAAGGATGTCATCTGGCTGTTTTGTGAAGGATGCCAGGGTGACGTGGCTGGGTAGCCTGTTCCATCCTCTTGAGAAAGGAAATGCCACGTGTGTGAAACAAGTCCTTACCACCCCCCACCCCCGCAGTGTTTTGATATTTTGGAATGAGAAGATCTGACTGAAGGTTCTGTTCCTGTTTTTTTGTTTTTGCCCCAGATCAGAAACTCTGGGGAGAGGCCCAGCAACGAGGAGATCATTCGCTTCTCCAAGCTGTTTGAGGACGAGCTGACCCTGGACAATCTGACGCGGCCCCAGCTGGTGGCACTGTGCAAGCTGCTGGAGCTGCAGTCCATCGGCACCAACAACTTCCTGCGCTTCCAGATCATCATGAAGCTCCGATCCATCCGCGCCGACGACAAGGCCAGTCCTGCTGCCCCCCCGGGGCTCTCGCTGGCGCCCTCTGTGCCTGATGGGCTGTAGATCTCGGAGATCAGTCGCCCGCGGCCCAGGCTGACGGCGCCCTGTGCTCGTCTTTGCAGCTGATCGCAGAGGAGGGGGTCGACAGCCTGAGCGTGACCGAGCTGCAGTCGGCCTGTCGCTCCCGGGGGATGAGGGCGCTGGGCGTGACGGAGGAGCGGCTCCAGGAGCAGCTCAAGCAGGTGGGACTTCTCCCGGTCGGAACGCCGCGGCTCTCCCACCTTGCAGCGCTCCTGCAGGCTCCAGAGGGGGCCGCAGTGTTAGGCTGCCCGGACGTCCTCATGCGTTTATCACAGGGATTTTTCCATCCTGCATTATGTCACGTACCCCTCCTCAAGTCCAGACTGGGGAATGTAAGTGTTTGAAAGGGAATGGCTGGAAAATGAAAAGCACCTGTCCTGCAGGTAAGTGGGAGTGTGAAGCCAGGGGGGCGGACCTGAGTTTTCTGCGGAGGATGCTGATGGGAATCTCTGCTCTTGGCAGTGGCTGGAGCTGCACCTGAACCAGCAGATCCCTACCTCCCTGCTCCTGCTGACCAGGGCCATGTACCTGCCGGACACGCTGTCGCCCGCGGATCAGCTCAAGACCACCCTGCAGGCCCTGCCCGAGATTGTGGTATGTGTCCTGAGCGCAGAGCCGTGCGGAAGGCCGAGCTTTGTCTGAGTTTGTCGGTGGTGGGTGTTATCAGGTATGCGCCAGCGGTAGACAGATAGTGATAGTGATAGTGGCGAATTGATCAGAGCTTCTCATCTGGTTGTTTCTTGACGGAGGCCAGGGTATCAACTTCAACAACATGACTAGGTAGCTCGTTCCCCTCTCACACAGCCCTTGGTGTAAAGAAGTGCCTTCTGTCCTGTATGTGTTTGACGTTCATCTCATTAACGTTTTCTTTTGCAATAACGTGGCAGTCCTGAATGTAACTGTAAATCCTGTGAAGACAGTGGCTCCCCGATTTGGCCTTGCAGGTGTTTGTCATGGTATTAGACTCGTTTTATTGAGTGTGATTTTTCGCATATTCTGCGACCTTTGACAAGACCTGTTTGACATGAGTCATGTGCAATGAGAAACAGCTCACTGGATGTCAGACTGCAGTTATAGGCTGTGTTTCCAGGTGTACACCTCCAGCGTGTACAGCAGATACAGCTCAGGTAGCTCTAGAGTGAATTGTAGTGGTTGAGCAGTGCTGCTGGTGAAGAGGGTGGGTGACCGGAGGTCTCTTGCCGGCTCTCTCAGGCCAAGGAGGCTCGGGTGAAGGTGGCAGAGGTGGAGTGCTACGAGGTGGACAACAAGACCAAGCTGGAGAACACGCTGGAAGAAGAGGCCGCCATCAGGAAGGAGAACCAGGAGCGCGAGCAGGAGCGGCTGGCGGATGCCGCAGAGAAGGCCAAGGAAGAGCTGCAGGTGGGCGCGGGCGTAGGGGGGCTTGGCGGGGGGGCAGGAGCGGGGGCTCGTATGACATCACTGTCCCCACACTTCTCACATGAATCCCCGACTTGTGCACGAGTCCTGGGAAGCTCAGACCTTTTTCAAACATGCTTTTGCTATAATGGTTTACCTTTTAGAGGCTCAATCTAGTAAATTAAAAATGCGTGAGGAGGAAAAAGGGGGTTTCATTTTCCATTCATGTGTAGGCCTGTGATCTAGCGTCACTTGGTCAAATACTGGGGCGCCTCCTCGTGTGAGGGATGGGGTGTCCCCGTGCGCCCCGAGGGGTGTAGAGCTGTGTGCTGACGGGAGGCCGCCCTGTCCCCTCCTCAGAAGGACGTGGACTCGGCGGTGGAGATGGAGGCGGCTGCCGTCGATGTGAAAAAAGGGCAGACAGGCGTGGACATGGAGCAGGAGCTCGCCAGCATCGACCTGGCCATTCACTCGGAGACCCTGAAGGACACGGCCCCCGTCCTAGAGGGGATTAAGGTAGGAACCGAACGTCCTGCGCCAAAAGCATCATCCTCTTCCTCTACACTCTGCAGACTTCCTTACATGGCCGATCTCTCTGTGACGAGATCAGTTCTCAACTTCCCCTTGTGCACGCCAAACATGCTATGAAAGTGTCTTCTCGCTGTCGCATTACAAGCACACTAAGCTATAGTAGAATCATGTGTTGTATCAAACATCGTTTTTCTTAAGAAGGGCCTAAACAGCTTTAAGAGTTGACTTTGTCTCGGAATTGTCCTGAAGGACTGAGTGCCAAGGGTGTCCTCCTGCCTCCTGTCAGTGTAGCTAGCTGGCATTACTTCTAGGTCATACATCTGCCAGGTCCCTTGGAATGACCACCTGGAGTCACCACAATGCAGACGACTGCTGAAAGAATAGCACTGATGCCATGTCTTCTGTCCTGATGTATGGTGCAATGTAGTCTGAATCTGTTACTTTCTGCTATTTCAGCCAAAAGAAAGTTGTCAGTGTATCTGCTGTGACGTCGTCTTTGCTTTCCCTAAATTCATCTGGGAGCAGTGCTGACAGAATAACACCAGGGGCTGTTTTCCTTTCTTTCTGGTTAACCTTCCGGACGTGAGTTTCTTTGCACAGGGAGCCACAGGAATGGACTCATTTAACACTCGTCACAGCTACCTTTCCCAACCGCTTCATTTTGAAGCCTCTTGGTTGGTGCCACACCTGTTTTTATTTTATTTTAAAGGACACCCTTGATTTCCCGAGTAACCAAGAAAGGTAGTAATGGTAATCAGTTGCAAAATGGAAAGTTCCCAGCCTTTACAGTCTTCTGAGAATGTTAAAGGTGAATTTCTTGGGTTAAAGTGGGCGTTATTTAAAAAGCTCTCAGAAGCCAGCTCTAATTCCAGTTATCCCAGTTGAAATGTTTGCCTTTGGTTTGTGTCATGGCCCATTTTCATCACAGTAAAGTGATGGTTTGGGTTTCTGTTTCTGCGACACACTCGTCGGTTTGTCGAAGACAGTCATTCCAGGCGTGTGTTTTCTGTGTGTTTTCCCATGCTGCACAGTTTGAGCAATGGCAGAAGTTTCTTCTCATCCAGGTTAGAGGCTTGCTTTCCCTTCCACCCCTCCCGGTCTTCTGGTGTGTGTTGTTCCGGGGCGTGGGGACCCCTCGTGTGTGTGTGAGAACCGTTTACCTTTTTGGTTCGAAATCCATGTGGATGTTGCCAGAGGCGTTTTGGCTGACAGGCACCTGCCCAGCCTCTCTCTAGCCTGGTCCCCAGAACCATTATCCTGAGGCATCATGAATCGGACTTGCCTTTTCTGTTTTTGCAGGCATGCTGGATGTAGTGTTTGAAGTCCTTCGAGCAGCAGTATGTGTCACTCCCAGCTTTGAAAGAGACGTAAAACGTCTCTTGTATTTGCTGAAGGCAACTGTTTATGCTGAGATAAGTGTAAGGGAGAAGTGAGTCAACAGTGCCCTAGTGTCTACCACCCTCATGCGCACTGTAAAGTCAACACAGTTGCTCATGTCCTGAACTGATAAAGTAACTATGAGCAGCACACAGAGTTCTCACCCCACCTCTCCCCTGTGCTTCATTTTGTGGGCTTGCTCATTTTGAAGTTATCTGGACTTTATAGACGGCGCACCAAAGCAGAACTGTTAACAGTAATATTTTATTGTTAAAAGTGTTTTTGAGTTTAATGTGCTCCTTAAAAAACTGACACGAAAAGATAACATCTCTTTGTATGACCTTTAATCCAATTCCTGTTATGACTCGAAACATACAGACAGCTACGTTCTGCATTATTTTTGCTTATGAGTATAGCTACAATAAAAAATATACCAGTCTGCTGTTTTCAAGTATCTAAATTCAATTTTGTTCCTCCTTTTTCATTTTGCCCTGTTAAAAATAGATGCAAGCAAACATCTGCTACTTTCAGTTAATGCCCTGCCTGTTATAGAGCTCATTTTGACTGCTGTCCTAAGGAAAATATTTGAGGCAGGATGTTGTGTTTTTAAATTTAAGGATCTGTTTAAAAAAGAAACATTTTTAATGTTGGTCACTCAGATTTGTTACTGTTTATCAGAATGTGCAAATACATTGGCACCGAAGATAAACATTCAGGGCTTAAGACAAACTTTTTCTCAGTCCTCATTTCCTTGACCGAAGAACTGTGGCATTCACTGCTTGGGTCTGCAGACGTGCCATTTCTAAACTTTGGTTTCTTCTTTAAACATGTACTGTTTGTTAACAGTTCGGTAAAGAGGCTGTTCTTCCTATTGCAGGACATTAATGTGCAGTAAAAGCTAGCATAATAAAGCCGAATTCACTCCTGGCTCCAATGTTGTAGAGCTCTGTGTGAAGCACATTAACAGCCCTTTGAGAAGTACTTCAGCAGCATTAAATGTGGCTACTGATGGAGCAAGCTGAATTTGAATAAATAATCCGTGGAAGATTAATCCCTCAATTAACTTAAGCCTGGAAAGATACGATACCTATGACAAAGTGCCTCTTGTCCTCTGCTGTGGCCTTCTGAGTCCGACAGGAACCCCTGATCACCCAGCCATTTAATGAATTTCACACTTGTTCAGATGGTCTGGGTTAGAAATTGAAACATTTTTTTTTTTCGAGAAAGTGTTTTTAAGAACCATTGTCTCTATTGATTGGGTGAATGTAGAATAGAAAGCTAATGAAGATGGGTTTATTTTTCCCAGCTCCCCCAATCTCCCAGCTATTGTTCATTTTTAAATTCCACCAGACTGCTTTGTTAAGAATCACAGCACATCCTTAAAAGTGGTTTGCTTTTGCCTTTCCAGTTGTGTAAGAGCAGCACACTCAAGCAACAGAAGCAGCTTTTCAATGTTTGTTTTTCAAAAATGAAAGAGTCTTCTGCTGTATTTATGTGGCTTGTAGAAATATCCATTGTTGTGTGCCTGTATGCCCTGTGGTGATTTGACATGGTCCTGCCCAGGTTTTCTCCATTAAACAGAACATTTGTGTGCGTCTCAAATGTAAAACTGAGCTGTAGGTGCACAATTATATTTGCTGAAGTGTACCATTTTAAATATTGCAAATATTCCTAATAAGTGTAACATAAGCACGAGAGTGTCCCCATATGTTTGAAACACGTCAATATAAATGTGTACAGTGTGAACGAGCACACTATCTGCAGCAGTGTGTACTGTATGTAATTATGGAGGATTGTGCCTGACTGCTCAGTTTGTGCTTTTTCTGTGGTCAGGGAGAGGAAATCACCAAAGAGGAGATTGACATGCTGAGCGACGCTTGCACCAAGCTGAAAGAACAGAAGAAGCTGCTCACCAAAGAGAAGGGGGAGCTGGAGGAGCTGAAGGATGATATCCAGGAGTACAATGAGGTAATGGCACACCAGCGCCAGTGTAAAAAACCCAAACCGTCTTTGATCTCAGACTAGTTCAGAGTTCCCCACCCTGGATGGCCAGATGTGTGAGAGTGTGCAAGGCCGGGTCTGGCCAAGACTGGACTGAGGAAAAGTCAGGTCTTTCTATGTGTTAGAGTGCTTATAGTGGTGCTAGTGGCTTGACTGAGCTGAATGATCCTTAAGAGGTGTTATGCAGAAAATTAATAATACAGCTTTATTCAGAAATGTGTTGTTCAAATGAGACATTTGTAGGCATGATACAGTTCAAAGTTTATTGAATTTAAATAGTGGATATCCTCAGTGCTGGGCTTTCCAGTGTGTGACAACATATCAGAACTGGAATTTCTCTGGTTCTGTGAAACCCGTCACATATGTGATGGACATGAAGTCATGCATACTGACTAGTGTGTACTGACAGATGCATTAACACGTGGTGAAAATGAGCCCACTGCAAAGTATGAGATTTAGATGACCATATCATATTAAAAAGGCATCTCCCCCGTGTGCGGTCACAGGGTTCATAGCCGCAAGCCAAGACATGAAAAACACACACTTGTCTATTTCTAATCGGTTGGTTATAAGAGAAAATATTGATTGTTCTACATTTATTAGGCAAAGGTTAAATTCCAAACCACTGTCTTCCGTGCTTGGGCAGAGATTTGAGTAAACAGAGTGAGACTTTCTCTTACCCGTTAGCTTTTCCCACTGTCATGTAGGACCTGGAGGAGATTAAGAAGGAACTGTCCAAGACTGGCCAGGAGACGGTTGTACAGGAGTCCAAGGCCAGCAAGCGCCTCTCAAAGAGAGTGAACCGCATGATCGGGCGTATCGACAAAATCATCTCGGAGCTGGAGACCGATGTGAAAGAGCTGGATGGGCAGATGGATAACGAGACCACTCCTCCTATTGGGTAAGAGCCTCATTCTGGCCAAAGCCAGATTTCTCCCAGCCCATCTCTGCCTAAGTCGCCATGGTGCTTGCTGTGAAATATCCTGCAGTGTTGTGTTTCTGCTGTCTACAGTAAAATGGTGGTGGAAGCAACTGATCCAGCTGATCCAGAGGTTATAAATAATAGGGGTTCCCAATCTTTCAACATTTGAAACTTGCTTAGAATTGTACAGTATTTCTAGGTTTTCAGAGATGCACTGAAGCACTTAACAGCAAGAATACAAATCTAATTAGTGCAAAGAGTATGTTGTTTTTTTTAAAGTTCTCTTTCAATTTCTGCATTGCCAACATCCAGTCTCTTGGTTTGGTGCCTTTTTTATTTTGACAAAAAAAAGAAAACAGTGTATCATTCTTCATCATTCTCCTTTTAACATTAAATTCAAATATTATTGCTACACCTGAAGACACCTCACCTACACTCTGCACTTACAGTACTGTATATTTAAAGGGCAGGTTTGCCACCTTCTAGTCTGATCTCATCAAATCTCACATACTAGCAACCCTGTGCTGCAAGTCATATAGATGGACCAATAGGTGCCTCTCTTCCCGCTAAATCAAAATTGACAAAAATGCAATACCCCAGTACAGTCGAACAGTCACTAGGGACTCTGTGCTGTAATTCATGTGATGTCATGTTCAACCCAGATCTGCCTGCTTGGTCATTGCAGATCTCCTGGCATTGTTTCTAGGAGTAGATGTGTTAACCCTGGTGTTGCGGCTGTCTTCCTCTCGATTGGCAAATGAATGAGCTCACTCGTCTACCTGACCCGCTGTTATCCTGGCAGTGCTGCACGTCACAGGCGCATGAAGGGGGTCCCCCCCTCTGTGTAAGGGGCTTTGGGATCCTTTGTGATAGGAAGTGCAATATAAATGCAATTCATTATCATGAAATTGGAATCTGTAGTTGTCATTTGAAGAATTACATGCAAATTCACTGTTAAGTGCAAGGCTGAGTCAGTGATGTTTTTTTATAAAATGATTTCTGCGACAATTAAGATCTCAAACCAGCTGATGCTGATCGTGGTTTTGATTTTGACTTTGGTGTTTGTGTACTATCAGTTTCATAATTTTTTTTGTGGAGACAGTTTGTTGAGTTGTTTTTTTGCTTCCCCTTTATAATTTCTGGGTTTTTTTCCCCAAATCACTTAACACTTAACCCTTCATCAGCTGGAGGTTCTTGCAAGGCTGAAATATATAGAGCAATCCGCGTTATTTGAGACTTGGATGCAGGATGAAACGGAGCCCTGGCGTGTAGCCTTTTGCACGCTCCTCGCTGTGAGCCAGTCCACCACCATCTTGCTTCCTGTCAGGCCTAGTAACCGTTTCCTGTATGCAGCATTTACTTCGCCTGTAGGGAGAACCTCATCAGCATCCACGAGCTCATCGGCGTGATGCGGCAGATCCAGAATATCCCCGAGCACAAGCTGCAGAGCATCGCCGTTGCGCTGGACGAGAACAAAGACGGCAAGATCGACATCGACGACGTCCTCAAGGTAACACCGTCCCCCTGCCGCCTTGCCCAAAGAAGGGGCTCCCCTGTGGCTCCCCCAGACTGAGGAGCGCTGGTGTGGTGCTCTGTCTTCCCTGAGGGGAACGTAAGCTCCTTCACAACGTCCGAACAGAGCACTGAAATGCTCCCCTCCTGAAGAGGGAATTTATTCTGATATTAGCATGTGCTATTTACATAATACTAGTACTTCTTTAAACTGGGTTTACAGCTACCCATATGTGTTATAATGTTCTCTCCACATTGCAGCTGGATGGACAAACTTCAGGCAGCATTGCTGTATTTTTGCCTCTCGGTCTCTAGGATGGTAACAAAAGAGAACGGGAGCCTTTTGGCTCAGTGTGCGCATTGATTGGTAGTGCGTTTGATCTAAGAATGTTTTTTTGGTATTTAAAAAAAATTCTAGAGATTGATTCTTGAATGCTTTGCTCCTGTAACCAAGCACCTACTTCTTGCTTTGAAAAGTGTCACCGGTCTTGAATATCCTTTAATTAAAGGCGTGACCTTTGCTCTTCAAATCAAGACAGGATCTCTTATTTCAAACATTTTTAAATGATTCCTTTACGTTTTGTCTGCTTTGCCAGAAATGTGTATGATTTTCTTCTCATTGCTTGTGTGGAAACCCAGTGAGGGTCAGGCCTTCCTCAGATTTTAGACTCTTTACCCAGAAGGACGAAGTTTGCCTCTGTCAGATTTCCTATTACCCAAGCCCCTGTTGACCTGTGTCTGCCGCAGGTGGTGGAGCTGATTGACAAGGAGGACATCGATATCTCGACCGACCAGGTGGCAGAGATCATGGTGATGCTGCAGAAGGAGGAGAGGCTGGTGGAGAAGGAGAAGGCCAAGGAGAAGGCCGAGAAGGAGCAGGCAGCTGAAGTTCAAAACTGACCCGACCCACAGGCCCCCACGGCCCACCGCAGCGCCGAAGCCGGCTGGCAAAGCACCCGCCCTCGACATTTTTATGACCACCGATGTTTTCGTGTTTTCAGGAGAGCTGGGGACTTCATTCTCAACAGGGGAGAGCAGGCCTTCCTTGAGTTTTCAGAAAAAGAGCCCCCGGTTTTTCAGAAATGAAAAAAGTAGTAAAACAAAGCTATTTTATTCTGTTCTGGTCAGTCTGAAATTGATTGTTGACGGTTGGAAATATATTTTTTTCTTTTCTGAAAAAACAAATGCAGCAATGGTTGATGACGAACTGTGTACTCATCGCACACCTGAACAAAAAAAGAGGAAAAAAAGATATTAATGAAATTGAAAGTATTATTTAAGTTAATGCAATTTACCTTTCATTTTAATGAAGAAATGTCATTATAAAACACTTTGAAATCCATAAAAAGTGCATCTCAGTGCACACATAAATAGTTCTCATTGCTACCATTCCAGAGGCATGGGAGTAGTGATTTATTTCCCAAAATGTATTTTTATTTTTAATATTAAGCAGGTATTTGCTTTGTAATCAATTAAATTATTATATTGAATGTTTTCTTGTGATGTGGGAGGTCTTCTGAATAGCACTGCCTTGTACTCCAAGATTAAGACTTGCTAATATTTAAAAATTAATTCAATTAAAATTAAACAAATGTAATGGGATCAAAACTGATAATAGGACGCAGTATTTGCAATGTTTTTGTTTTTTCTTGTTAGCACTGAATGTTTAAAAAATTCAAAACAAACTGATAGTGCTTGTTGCCTGTGTATGATCACTCTATACTGTACTCGGAGAGTACAAACTCCTTCCTTGTGTATTTAACAGCATTAGTCTGTATTATGATTCAATGAAATCTGAATTGTTTCTTTGGGGTTCATGCTTATTACATTATTACAGTTGAAAAGTGTTTATTTTTTAGATGATGGCTTATTAAACCCATGAATTATGAAAAGACCCATATCACTGAGGAGATAGTTGTGGATGTATGGCATGTCCCAAACCAGGACAAAACAATTCATGAAGATCTTTTGTGAAGATTCCTTAAAGAGGCCACATGTTAGCTGGTCAGGCACACATTAGCAGTGCTTTTAACTCAGTTGTTGCTGTGCACAGAGCATTTGTTTCAGCATATACTGTAATGTAATTTCTGTATGTGCCTTTGCATGGGGGTGTAACTACAAAGGTAGGTCAGTATGAAGAGTGCAATTATTCATCAAGTGGACTTTGCGGGAGGGGAGATCCGTTCTGTCTTTCAGCACAGTCCCTTTGCCTGTCCACACACCCTCCCGCTGTTGCCAGTTCCTGGATGCTCCCGAGTCGCTGCTGTGCGGTTCTGAACTAAACTGCGCTCTTGGCCTCACCATGGATGGGGGTGCGTTGTCATGTTGCAGGATGACCCCAGTGACCCAGTGGGAGAGTGCCTTACTGTGCCCTGTGTGCGTTACTGGCTGAGTCTGTTGCTCTTGTGCCAGGTGATAAGAACACCTTCCTGATCCCAGAATACAACAGCTTTTCTGCTGCTGGTGGTGATGGGGGCTTCCATTGCAGAGATACCCCGTTACTTCTGGGGTGGCACAGAGAAACAAATGGTCCATGCATGTGACAAAAAAATCACTGCCTTCTTCCTACTGCTGGCGGAGGTTTCCTGCCTGTTTGCCGGGGAGCGTGCCTGACACCGCTGCTGAACGAGTGTCTGCTGACCCTCTTGCTCTTGTGCAGGGGCAGCCATCTTTGCAGCCTGACCACTGGCACTGCATACAGGAAGCAGGGAATTCAGCGAATGACTCTCACTTCCCAATTCCATATCAGAATGCAATTGTTTTACACAAGTGCACGGGTAGTGGCAGAAAAAAAAGCTATTGGTTAATTGGTTTATCCTCTTACAGTTATGAAAGAATGAATAGAATTCCATGTACAGAATTGACAAGAAAGGGAAGCATGCGGATTGTGGCCAGCTAATAATTAAAGGGAAAATGAGCAGCATTTTGAGTAGGGTGGGGGAAATGAAGGCCTGAATTAAATATTCAGAAGATACAGCGCATCTCAGACAATCAGCTGACTTGAGACTGAAGTGTCCAGTTTGATTTTCTTGACTTGCAGGTCATTTCTGTGTTATCTGATCTGGTTTTCTTTGCATGTGTGAGAGAAATAGTATAAGTGCTAACAGAACAGTTGTTGGGAAAAGGCACTCGCTGATAAGAGACAATATCACTCTTAATCGGTGAAAGATAAGGTGTGAAAAAATGCTACTGACCCCCTCAGAAGTAATAGTAGTAACAGGTGTGCAAATGCATACTTTTAGCTGTTGTATTGGGAGTTGCGGAAGTCCAAAAGGAACCGACTCACTTTTTGTGTCTAAATGTGGTTACAAAATACACAGTGGTTTCAGCTAGTATTTGCACACCTGCTGTACAGTCAATTTTTGGAGCTTCTGTATTCGTAAAATCCGTAGAGTAGTACATTCTAGTGGTACGTACCTGATGCTTTTGATTTGCTTAAGAGGTTTGTTTCTATGGGTTTTTGTTCTCGGTCTTTGGCGATTGCCTAAGAAAATTTGTCTGATGATCTTCCTGTCTGAACTGAACTATGTGCAACATCTTGCATTGTGGTGTCATATCTCTTCTGATTATTCTGACTGCTTTTCTTAAATATTTGCAGCCCTGTTGCCGAAATCTTCAGTGCTACTAGATATAAGCTAAACACACTAAAAAGCCTATGCATAATTGCACTATGAAATTATATTCAGCTTTTTAAGATTTGATTTGTTACTCAGGTAGAAATATTGTTGGCAGCTGTCATGAGGGCACACAGCAGTGTGCGAATTGAAATGGAAAACACTATGTCGTGGCTGTATGCAAGCTGAAGATGAAATTTTGTACTGTATGTCTGAAATAAGGGGCACAAGTATGTAAAAGCTATAGGTTATAGCAAGCCTTGAGAGGTTAAATTGGTTTTAAGACTGACCTATATAAGGATGTGTTTTGCAACATCAAACTGGAATGTGTTTTTCTTGTCTTTTAATGTAATCACTCAGTGTTCACCAGCTCCTGTGTGTGGAAAATGTTTTTTTTTTTCAAGTCTGCTTGAAGTATCAGCATACTTCAGAAGATGGCAACACTAGATGCCTTTCAGATGCATTTCTGTGTGTGGTGGCAAAAGCAGCATCCTTCTGCAGTAGGTGAGAGCAGACCCGTAGGCACTGCAATTCAGAAATGGCGGAAGGGTTATAGGAAAGCAGTTTATATTGAACATTTGGACATCGTTTGGCCCTGGGTAAGTCCAAGTGTACTAGTATAAAGTGCTTGAGAAATATAAGTAGTGACCATAAATATGCTTGAGGTTTGAATCTGGTTGCAAATTCTAAAAGGTGAATGCATTTGAATTTAAAGTAGTAGTGTTTTGTTTTAAAGCAAGCAATATAAAGGGTTCAGATGCATCCAGTAAAAAAAGCGGGTGTATTCTCTAATAACTAAACTCATATCTGTTCCGTATGTTTCATGTTTTGTTCCTTATGTTTGGCCACATATACTTATTAAACCATTTACCTTGTCCTGGAGTATATTGCTTTTACTTAATGGCCCTCAGGCATTTGCTGCGTCTCTGAAACTGCAGTTGTCGGTCTGTGCTCGCGGCGGCTCTCAGCCACCTTGTGCAGTGCTGCAGGAGGGGCTGGTGGGAGCTGAAGTCCCTGGCAGGTTTGCATCGTTGTTGTGATAGATCAAAGAATCATAAATATTTGCAAATGAAGAAATAAAGAGCTAACAGTTAAAAGAAAAGATTTGCATCGTGGGAGAAATGCCCACCTTCTCCTGGCGTGATCTGTGCCCAATGTAAAGCTAAACCTGGACGGTCCAAACCGATAACACTACGGAATAGCAAGGACTGGGAGTAGGTATGTTTTTTAAGTCATTAAAGATGAAGAATGTAAGTTACAGCATCAGAATGGAAATACTTTAGCTTTAACCTGCTACAGATTGTGGAGAAGGTGCACTGTACTGTGGTCTCCGAGAGGTTTTTTTCTGCAAGACACGTTTCAAAAGCCGTAGTTCCATAACTCTCCAGATTTATTTTTCACTATGAAAAGCCTTCTTAAAGCATAATACAGCTTCAGGCTCATAGGAAGTGTCTTACTCGGAATGAGGGTCTTGTCTCTTGCACATTGGTAGCAACGGTTTTGGACTGCTTCAGACCGGGGGTGGTTCTAGCATACAGCATTTGTTTTGGGGATCTGTCCGATTAGCAGTGCTTGGGCAGAGACTAAAGTGATGAAAACTTTCTGTGATAATTTGGCTTCGGGCCACATTTACACTATATACACACTGGCTATATACACACTTCTGGCTGTGTGTATATAGTGCATGTTATAGGCCCTTCAGTGTTGAAAAGACTTTTCTAGATGCTAGTGCACAGGTAAACATTTTAAAGAACTGCTGACTTGGTGGGCAATGTCTTGGAAATTCAGAAATAACTTTTTCTGCATGTTCCTTTAAAGAGGATGAAACAGCCGCGCTGGGGTTAGTATAGTGCTGGGGCCCTGGGTTCGGTTCCAGACCTGTGGTGCTGTCTGTGTGGAGTTTGTATGTTCTCCCCAGATTCACATGGCTTTCCTCTGGGTGTTCCGGTTTTCTCCCACAGTCCAAAGACATGCTGACAGGCTCTCTGGCTAACTGGGGAGAGTTTCTGTGTGCCATGTGGTGTGCCCTGCCTTGCTGGGACAGGCTCCAGCTCCCCCACTGTACTGTTCTGGATACCGTGGTTAGAACATGGATGGGTGGATGGATATTCCTTACAAGTCATGTCTGTGAAGTACGTTGTTGCCCAGTGAGTAAAGATAAGATCACTTTATTGGCCGTATACAATTTCCTGTATTAGGAATTTGTCTTTGCACATATCCCAACTTGCTCTCCTTGAGACACACAGACAGGGAGAGAGCAGCTTGGGGTCAGAGCGCAGGGTCTGCCATTGTACAGCGCCCCTGGAGCAGTTGGGGTGAAGGGCCTTGCTCAGAGGCCCAACAGAGTAGGATTCCTCTGCCGGCTGCGGGATTTGAACCGGCAACCTTCCAGCCACAGGCACAGATCCTGAGCCACAGAGCCACCACTCCGCCCATATTCCATGAAGGAACTTCCATAAAGGAATGTTATCTTTTACTTTCTAAATATAATTTTATGTCTTTTCAATTTTGTGAGATTTTTTTTCTACTAGTTCTGTACTATACATGCTCTCTGCCTGGTACTGAATGCTCTTTTTCCTAGAAACTGCAGTCCTTTGCAGGGATATCAGTGATTTTCTGCTTCTTTGCCTGGTAGTGGACATACCTGATCACAGGGAGACTTAAGGCGTCTCTTTCCTGTTATCAGTGTTGCTTGTTCAAATGTGTCATTGTGAGTGAACTAATCGACGTGCTGTTACTCAGACAGCAATCAAGCACTGGTGCTGTGCACAACAGCCAAGAACGTCATACTGTTCACAGTGCGGGCCATTGGTCTGTGTGTGTGTAATTTGTGGGGATTTTTTGTGCAAGTCGTGACCCCCCCAACAAATTTTAGACGCTGCGCTTTTGTAAAACCCGCATTGTCTTGCTGATTAACTTACTGCACTTTGCATAGCTCGGGACTATATGTATTCCCTGTAGTTACGGTTTTTATCTAAGCAGTTATTTGAAGATTATTCAGATTAGCAGATTATTCGAACAGGAGGGAGCCTGCTGTGGGTGTTCAGAGATACTCATTTACTTTAAAATAACAATAATACAGATATATAGCGCTCTTCTGGACACTCCACTCAAAGCGCTTTACAGGAGCTGGGGACTCCCCTCCACCAGTGTGCAGCCCCACCTGTACGATGTGAAAGCAGCCCATACTGTCCTCACAGTACACTCACCACACAGCAGCTCTCAGTGGGGAGCAGAACATGGTGATGAAGCCAGTTCATAGAGGGGGGGGTATTAGGATGCTACTTCTTTTTTTACAGCAGTGTCCCTCTCACTCAACTATGGCATTGGGACCCTCACAGATCACAGGGTGAGCGCCCCCTGCTGGCCCCACTAACACCTCTTCCAGCAGCAACCTTAGTTTTTCCCAGGAGTCTCCCATCCAGGTACTGGCCAGGCCCACACCTGCTGAGCACCAGTGGGCTGTGAGCTGTGAGCTGCAGGGTGATATAGCTGCTATATTTGGTTAGGGTGACAAGGTGACACCTCTATTAAGAATACAGAATTTCTACACAGACTAAGAGGGAAATAATGTGTGAAGAATACCCTTTAATCTTTAAATTATGTATAAAATATATTGTGGATACCTGTATTATTATGAAGAAGGAGCTTGTCCAAAGGATAGAAATATTATTATTCCAAAGTATAAGAATATTGGTTTAAAAACATATTAAAACAAACGTGAGCAACTTTCTTTTAACAAATCGGAATTGGTTTACATACTACCTTATGCATCTTCATGAGATACAGTCATTAAAGAATTGCTTTTAATGATGTGTATTTTACAGAATTTTATAAACAGTTGATTGAAATGAGATTGAAATATTTTACAGTTCATTATATGGGAGGCATAATCAGGTTTTCTTATCTATATTTGTTCATAAATGGGAAGTGTACCATTTATGTTTAATGTTTTTGCTGTTTTTCATGATAAAAAAAAGACATGGAAGGAGCAGAATTTCCATCTCCCCGTAGAGATATCTTATTTTTTATCAAACTACGAATGTGTAAACAACATGAAAATCCCTTTTGTAAAAGGTCCGATATGATGCTTAGATGTAATCAGATAATAAGTCTTACTTATTGAAAAATGCACAAAATGGGAAATATATTGTATTTGGCACCTTAAATCTAAGAGAACATTGCAAAATCTTTTTTTTAAGAACCATGAGGGAGTTTGATTAACATGACCGAGTGATGACTTAACCTTCCTTCTATGCTCTATTGGTTTGGCTTTCGGTACATCTGGGGCTGTATACTGACTCCTGCAAAAGGAGGATTTTAAAATGGCCTTTAAACATTTTCAGCAACAAAAACAAACCAATTTTTCCCGAACAGCACAGTAATGACATGACAGTTTGTTTAATTCTTACTAAAGAGCCTGAAATCTGAGATGGGCAGGACTAGTGCAAACGGTCTTTTACTTTTAAACCATGTCTGTTGAAACAAGACCTTGACAAGCTTGCTGGTGCCCCAGATATTTAGCACTGCTGTTTGTTCTGCTGCTTGAGGTGAAGTTTGAAGGTTTTTTCCCCTCAAGAAATAACAGTGGTAAAAAAATATAACACTGCTCACTTTGTAATAGCAATTGAAACAGGCAAAAAAAAAATCGATCGAAATAAAAGTGTTGCTCTTAAAAAACACAAGTAGGGACACATTTAACCAATGCTGTTAATCCATTAATTGATTTTGAGGTGTGAAACTGCAATAAAGGAAATAAATGGAATTTAATTTGGCGTCCCATTTTCTTTTTCACTACCAGACTCTTCAACATAAGATTTCAATCCTC